CCTTTACTCATTTTGAATAAAATTAGTCCAGTGGTTCTTGCAAAGAAGCCAATTATGTGTTAAATCTACAGATGCAGACACACAGATGGATAGACAGATTGATCAGAAACCAGAAGTCTCTGTCGAGACTGAAGCTCTACTGGTTTGTACTTATAGCAAAGAAAGAGAAAAGTTCTTAATTATTTGGGAATTGAAACTTTACCACAGCAATAAAAAGAATAATGATCCTTGATTAAATGTTCTTATTTTACTTGCATGCCACATCATATTATAATCAGACTTAAACTGTATTTGGAGTAGCATTTTGAGAGTTTTTAACAGAAATTTCTATTTTTAGTAACAATGGCAACACCGTTCATCGATAAAAACCGATATTATGTATCTAAGTGTAGTGTACTTGTATGCCATTATATTGAAATCAGACCAAAACTGTAGGAGGAGAAGCATTTTGAAAGAATTTCACAGAAATTTCTATTTTTAGTAACAACGGCAACACCGTTCATCGACAAAAACCGATATACAGAATTATGTATCTTAGTGTAGTCTACTTGTGTGCCAAGTTATATTGAATTCAGACCAAAACTGTAGGAGTAGTAGCATTTTGAATGATTTTTCACAGAAATTTCTATTTTTGGTAAGCACAGCAACACCGTTCATGAAATCAAAAACCGATATACAGAAAATATGTATCTCAGTGTAGTCTACTTGTGTGCCAAGTTACATTGAAATCAGACCAATGTAGGAGGAGTAGCATTTTGAAAGAATTTCACAGAAATTTCTATTTTTAGTCAAAGGCAACACCGTTCATCGCGGATAAACAGAATTATGTATCTTAGTGTAGTGTACTTGTGTGCCAAGTTATATTGAAATCAGACCAAAACTGTAGGAGGAGTAGCATTTTGAAAGAATTTCACAGAAATTTCTATTTTTAGTAACCACGGCAACACTGTTCATCGAAATCAAAAACCGATTCACAGAATTATGTATCTTAATCTATGCCAAGTTATATTGAAATCAGACCAAAATTGTAGGAGGAGTAGCATTTTGAAAGAATTTCACAGAAATTTCTATTTTTAGTAACAATGGCAACACCGTTCATCGAAATCAAAAACCGATACACAGAATTATGTATGTAAAAGTTATCTTTGAAATCAGACCAAAACTGTAGGAGGAGTAGCATTTTGATAAATTTTTTTTTCAGTTAATACACAGAATTATGTATCTTAGTGTAGTGTACTTTTGTGCCAAGTTATATTGAAATCAGACCAAAACTGAATTTTAAAAATTGTTTACAGAAAAAGCAGAAACAAGTTTGCATAAATGCTATTTTACCTCAAACTGTCTTTGCTTGGAATACATATATTTACCATTCTGTGGATTGTTGATACTGACACATAAAGCATTGACCACACTGGTCCACAGTTCTATGCTAGTGGGTCCTGAATCATCAAACCAGAAAACCTGTCTCATCTCTACCTTCAGCTCTCATACCTTTTGGCAAAGATTTACTGCAAACATCAAAAGTAAATCTCCTAAAAATCATCAATACCTACATTAAAATATCTTTGAATCGATAAATTTTGTCTTTTCAGTTAATTCACAGATAAAAAGAATTCTATAGAAAAAGCAGAAACAAACGAGATGTTTGTAAAACACTTATGCCCTCCTCCCGCAAATTGAAATCTTTCCAAGTCCAAGGGGCATTAAACTGCCAAAAATGGGGCAATTGTACCCAAAAAAAGAATCTGACGTAGATATTTATTTGATAAATCTGTATACCAAATTTCATTTCGGTATGTGCAACCTCTGCGAAGAAAATGAATGGAAACTGCAAATAATTGGAAATTTTTCTAAGTCCAAGGGGCATAACTCTGTAAAAAAAATGGCGCAATCGTATCCTAAACAGAACTTGACCTAGATATTCATCTGATAAAACTGTATACCAAATTTTATTTCTGTATGTGCAACGGTTGTGAAGAAAATGAACGGAAACCAAGTGCACTGACAGAACAACAGACAGACAGCAGCAAAGCAATATGCCCTCCCTTCTTCGAAATTACAATACTGCATTTTAATTTAATTAACTTGCTGAGGATCACCAATTCTCATTTGGCTACATACAGAAAAGATAAACGTACCATAATAAATCCATTAGAGTAGAAAGGCACTGACTTTGTTTCACCAAGACTTGTCCTTCTCCTAAAATGGAATGAATTTATTACGTACTTATGATATTTAAATCTCAAGATTAACAATAGTAAAACCATGTATTTTACACTGGTTACCAGTGTATTTTACAAAGAAAACTTAACAGTCCTCACCAGAGTAACTGGGAAAAAATTACTCAAATTGCCTTTTTTTCCCTCAAAAGGGCAATTTTTGATTTTAGGATATTCAAAATCCATTTACCATCACTGGGATGTAATGCAGATTGAAGAATACTTACAATTTTAAATATCAATATGTATGTACTTTATAGTGGAATTTTTCTTAAACCAAATTTCTACCCTTGAAAAATCTAAGTCTGGGTGACAGAGGGCAAATGTAGATAGTTTTGAATTTAAATTGCCAGCGTAAAATGTGATAAAGAAGCTTCTGAAGAATATAGCATGTGAGGTGAGAACAGTAAAGCTATGTACCAGTAAGTTAAACTACATAACAGGTAAAAAAAGATAATTTCTTAACAATATAATAATTAAGATTTTAATCAAAATTTTCATAGACAATATAATATCTAACTTACCATTGTTTGACACAAGATTTATGAGAAAGAATGTTGCTGTTTGCTTTAATTTGGCAGTGGATCCCTTTGATAATATTGTTTGAATGAATTTGAAAACAGTGCTGGTTGTAACTGATTTCTGACAAAAAACTGAAAGTTCAAAATATTTCATGAATATCAGAAGTAACAATTTATCCCCTGGCATTATTTAGTTGAAACAGTTTATTACATGTACTTGTTATTCTGATATATAATTTTTTTGGACAGGAGATGGTAAATTCAACTAAATTAATTCTATTCTTATTATATAATCAGATTATTTTATTTTCATTTTTTGTTTTTTTTAAATTGATGAATGATCTGATTTACCATTTCTTTCAATTGCACAACCAAGACAAAAGAAGGCTCTTTCCTGAACTTCATGATTTTCTATTGATGTGAGGAGATCTATAAGGAATGTAAGACCCCCAATGTCCTTGAAATATTCTTTGACAAAATCTGGAATAAATCAAATAGAATTTTTACTCATCTCAAATTTCATTAACATTCTAAATACATGTAAATAGTAAAGCAATAACTTAAACGATATTACAGTGTACATTAGCAAAAAGTTAATACATGTAAGGGCGAAAATAAAAGCATGGCAGAAATAACACTGTGTACAGTATTTAATTCTGAGCCGGAAATAAATTGTTTATTGTTTTAAATCTAAGATACCTATATATGAAACACGATTAATTTAAATTGTGTAATTTACAGGAAAGTCCTATCTTTATATCCAGAAACAAAACAAATAGAAAGATCTTTTTTAATTTTAGTTAGTCTGAGTTTATCAAAAATATGCCATATATATGACTTTAACTTCATGTATTTATTATAATGTAATGCATCATCTTTTGATCTAAGTAGAGATGACCATGTACTCTTTCTATTGGTAGTTGATTGACCAATGCCAGAAAGTGGAGAAATTCTCCCCAAAAATGCACAAAAAATATTGCGCCGTAAATTGCACCTTTTTTTGCTTTACGGGATCTGTAGTGTTATGGTCAAAGACAAATGTATAAAACCATAACGCTACAGATCTGCAGCTGTACCTACCATATGTACTAAAAATCGAAGAAAGTGTTAGAAGGGCCTGTTTTACTGCAGTTGGATTGTTGACTTGGCATTTCAAACAGTCTAGTAGTAACTTCACATCAGTTCTGACTTCTGTGAAACAAATCAAAATAGGTCTCTCATAAAATCAGAAAAGTTCAGTTAAAAAAATCAAAGTAGTGAAAACAAGGAGCTACAAATTCATTTTAAGCTTTAACTAAAAAGCTTACCGTTTTCTTGCCGCCCTTCGTCCATTTTCTTCGTCTGGAAAAATGAAATGGAAAACTCGTTAAGAAAATTTATTAATCATAATGAGAACAAAGAGGCAGAAAACATGTTAGCGATATAAAATCGCAATATCATCAAAAAATTACCTCATAAGCAAAATTCCTACTGCAGACGACATAAGTTGTTTAGGCAAAGGCCCGAGAAGTAACGAAGTTTCAGAAACCGAAAGTAGAAGTTAGCGCGTTGATTTTTCATTCGCTCCCCATAAAAAAAGGGGGAGCGAATCATTCGCCGAATAAAAAGTCTTTGTTTCTGCGCGAAGTCTCTAGATTAAGACTTTGAGCTTTTGCAATGAAATTTTTACACCACAACTTAAGGTCAAAGGTCAAGGTCGTAAATTCATAGTGTATCGATATATGTGTAAGACTCATTTCCAGTCGATATTTCAAGAAGCTTTTGAATTCTTACAGTCAAATTTTTTATCAATTAAAATTTACCACAACTCCCTATGGCACACTCGGCCTTCTCAAATGCCCCCCCCCCCCTTTTCTACATCTGATTGATTGATTGTATATTGTTTAACGTCCCTCTCGAGAATTTTTCACTCATATGGAGACGTCACCGTATGCCGGTGAAGGGCTTCAAATTTAGACCTATACTCGGCACTCAGGGCCATTGAGCAGTGAGGGTTCTTTATCGTGCCAGCGCCTACCGTGACACGGGGCCTACGTTTTTAAGGTCATATCCGAAAGACCCGTGACTTTCACTTCTAGTGCCGAGCGCTTGGCGAAGGCATGGAAGGAACAGTCACTACCTTTGTTTACGTCTTAGGTATGACGCGGCGCTGTGAACGAGAATCTGTGTGTAATGGGAGAGGAGAAGGATGCAGTGGACCATGCAGGGATTCGGACCCTAGCCCCTTGAATCTCCGGTCAGGTGCTCTACCAACTGAGAATTCCAGCACGATTAAACCTGACTGACCGTCATATCCCTCCCTATAAGACCCCACCCCAGGCTGATCCCTGGCATGCCTCTCACCTGTCAGTTCCAGGGCATGGCACAGCACCAAATGTAACAGGAGAGGAGAAAAATGCAGCAGACCAGACCGGGATTCAAGCCCAGGCCCCCTTAATCTCCTGTCAGTTGCTCTACGAACTGAGCTATAGCTATCAGGCCACCAGCGATCAATCCAATAATCAGAGGAGTCTGTATTTCTATCAGACTTCACTTTATCACACTGTTGATGGTATTCAGACAATCTAATTAAAATCAGATCTTCCATTCGACACATAAAAAAAAATGGGAGCAAACAGATCTGGGTGTTTAGATAACTGAACCTCTAGTTGTAATTGATCATCTAGTGGTCACTGGAACTATTGAATTTCAATTTTCCCAATTTTCTAACTTGTTCATATTTCTGACGCATTATACCCCTTTTTTGAGAATTTCTGTATTTATCATCCTTACATTGAATTGCACATTTTACAAGATTACTCTAGAATAATGTATACATAAAAAAAGATTTTTTCACATTGAAGTTTATTAATAAAAATAAATGTTATGTTACACAATTAAGTACATGTTGTTGTATTTCGATAAACCACAAACAATAATTTACAAGTATTTCATCAGAGCTGCCATATCTAGAAAAGTCCTGGCAAGTTTAAGTCGTCCTTTCTTTGACAAAATATTGCACTTCTCGCTGTATTTTACCGTGGCACAGTCTTGTTCTGCTATATGTCCTGTTTTGATATATGTGGTATAATTTTTATCTGTTGCAAAAGCTACAACAGTTACCTGTAAATAAAAGTGAAAATGATTTCAATACTGTATGCAGGCATTCAGCAAACCTCGACCATATCCCTCGCCTTCATCATTTATTTAGATGAGGTAAGAATCGGCAGAGGTAAGCCGAGTGTGTATGCAGGGTTATTTTTGCCCCTTCATACTTTCAAATTTTCCTAATTTAGCATTTGCAGAGATAATGCTATCTTCTTTAATTAAATTCACCCACTTAGGACAAGGGTGAAAGGGGCAAAAATAAAACAGGGGCAAAAATTTCATTGTGAACATTTTTGTGCAAACTTTTCTACTGTTTTCAAAATTTGCATCTTCAATATTATAAACTCAATGTATGACAAATCTTCGCTAGCCAAGGGTTTCTGATACGCTATTCTCCTCAATTCAATAGGAGAGTATCGTATCAGAAACCCTTGGCTACCGAAGATGTGTATAACACAATTACTAGTACTTTTATAAGATAAAAGTTAGAGGAAATTTGTAAATTTACATATTTATATTATTGCATATTTACTTACCTCTGTTGCTTGAACTACAAAACCATACATTCCATTTGGTCCAAACAAAGAGCACTGTAGAACTGAGAGTATATCTCCAATGTGTTGGCATTTCAAATTATTGTCCACATGCTCAATGGGGTTTTGAACTTTGATGAACTTCCACATCTCTCCTCTTAAATCAATTTCTTTGTTATATGTCTTTGTAACCTAAATCAAATTTTGACAATCAACCGAAATATAGTTTAGAGTATTCTTGTTCAATAATAAGGGCACATCATTCATAGGTAAGACACAAGAATTGTCAAATCTTCAATCAATATAAAATTAACACTTCACTAAATAAAGCCAAACCATAGAAAAATCTACTTTTTATTTATAGCAAAAAATTGGTGGAAAAAAAGTTAATACTAATATTAAGTAAAGCCAATTTCCATTTGCCCCTTTCACCTCCATTAACATGAGATGAGTTGAAAAGGGGGGAATTCAACAGAGCCATTTATTTTTTTTTTTATTGCTACTGTCAACTGTGTCTGACCTAACTTGAGACATGGAGAAAGTGCGATAGAGCAATAAAAACAAGGGCTAAAACAGCACAATTTTAACATATTTTAGTGTATCATATTTAGTACGTTGCAATGCTGAAAGACTTAATTTTCTGATATGTACATTTCAGAAATGTTAATTTTTTGTTAATTAATTTATAAACTAATTTCCATTCATCAGATTAATTGATACAAAACCAACTTTAAAAAAATTATGGGTATGCCAGGTGCCTGATGTTTTTTTTTTATTTTTTTATGATTTGTATGTTGTACCTTAACAACTGCCAGAACTGTATTCTTTTTGCAAGGATCAATGACCAAAGCATCAGGTACTGAGGAAATCTCTTTACCACCGACTACACAGTTGTAACATCCAACATTTGGTGCACCTCTAGACACAATAATGAATAAAAATAAACTCGTGTAAAAGCATGGTATTATAAAAAAAAAAAATAAAGATAAAATCATATCATTATGTAAAAGCTATATTTTCAATGAAAGTACTTATTTACAGTATTTATCAGTGTTGCAGGCAAAGAATATGGATACTACGGTACTGTGTAATTTAAATATGATTTTTATGACTTACACTAGACCCAATTCAAACATCCTGGCAAATCTCATAAAAAGCTCTTGGAACATTCCCTCTGACAATTCTTCTCGCTCTGGATGCTGTCTTCTGTTTACCATGTAAAGGAGCTGCCATAGAAAATCGGTCACATTTTGCTGTAGTCTGAATTTAGAAAAAAAAAAATGCAATTTCACAAAGTACGTTTTCCAATACCTTAACTTTAAAGTCTATAGAAATAGAAAACAAAGCACAAGTCTACTTTATCTTGATGTTTGAAATGGAACATAGAGTCGATAAATTGGTGTACCTGCATAAAGAGAATGTAATTCTTATTATTCATGGAATTATTCTTACATAAGTATTTAAATTACAATATTTTTGGTTATGGCGCCACTTTTCTTCTCTTGTGAAATTACACATAGACAAACACACACACACAAAATACCAAAGCTCTACTGACAGGTACAATCAAAAGACGGTCACCTCAAACATTTTTCTTTTAAGCCCTTAATGGTTTTAAAACCACTCAACTCCTTCTCCCAATCCCTCCATATCTTTGAGTTTTCATACAGTTTCTCTACTCTACAGACCGGGACATGGTCAATATGTTCATAATCAAGATTTAGGATTTGTTCCATTATATGATTAAAGCAATCAAACGGTACTTTTCGCTCAGAAGCTGGGTCGTTCATCATGGCTATAATTTCACTTCTTTTGTTCTTCTGATTTTCCAGGAAATCTGGATATGATGAAAATACAACATACGGCGTGAAAACCTCCGTTTCTACTTCTATATGTAAGTGTGGTAAGAGTTCCTCACTCCAGTCTTTAGATGTCGATGGAATATTCAAGTTCATAATAGATGGACTTCCTCTCCGTGTTTCATTTGTGTGTGTAACACATTCCTCCTCCGAATTGTTGAATTTTCTTTTTACAGATGTAACAGATGTCGAAGAAACAACACCTTTCTCTTTGTTTGCCATCTTAATGAAATTTTATGTCAGATAGAAGAACAAAATTATACAGGACAGCTCATACTACTTGGATACAATCCCAATCTCATGGATTCTGAGACTCGAGACTCAGTCTGATACGAAAAATGAAAATCGAATTTGTTTAGGTGATCACCATTTTCTGTATTTCGATCCCGATGGATATTATTTATAAATTATTATTAAAGCACATTGTAGACACTCACTGACTTTAATTTGTAGTACATAAAAATATTTTTGATATACTTTAATAAAACATTTGTTATTTAATTACAAATTAAACCGGGAAAGTTTCTAAGAATACAAGTTATAAGAAAAATAAGTAACCTCGGGTGCCTATCCTATGTCTAGGATATAGTTTTTAAAAAAGTCATATATGGCGTATTTTTTTTATAAGTTCAGACAAATTGAAATTAAAAATATATTTTCTAATAATTTTATTATTTTATATAAAGATAGGACTTTCATGTAAATTACACAATAATGAATTTAAATCGCGTTTCAAAGATATCAATTAAAAAAAAAAAAAAAAAAAACTAAGTCAATAGTTCAGAAATCATATCAGTTAAGTATTTGGAACTATCTTGTCACAGGAAATGCACATGTCAAATATGAAAACCTATACATGTATCTTATCAATAAAAACTGACAAAAGGAAAAATTAACAATTTTGAAAAGTAGGTCAAACGTCAAGGCCATAAGATAAAAATCATAGAGTACATGTATAATTAGAAAGGTCTTGTCGATACCAATATACAGATTTGATATTAAAGCCATATATTTTCTCATTCAAAAGTCACGAGCAAGATTTTGAAAAGTTGGTCAAAGTAAACTTGAAGGTCAATGTCACGATGTCAAAAATCATAGTGAATTTAGAAAGGTCTACTGACAGACGAATAAGATTTAATGTACCCTCGCTTTCACGAAAGCGGGGGACAATAGAACGGGGATAAATCTTTCTTTGAATACAATATTCAAACATAAGACATTTTTTTTTGTTTTGAACCCATATAAAAGATTCAGACCAAGGTTAAAGTTTTACAAATGTAGGTCAAACTCCAAGGACACGGTCATTGACTTTGGGTCAAAAGAAATGTTGAACCTTCTAACATAGACTTTTCTTAAGAAACACACACATGAAATATAATATCTTTAGTAACAAAAAAATCAGTAAATATTGTACAGGCTTATGTTTTTCTTAAAGAAGGTCGTGCTCAAAGGTCAATAACATGAGGACAAATATATCGATCGTATATATGAGGAATGAAAAGCCTTGCGGCAACCAACCAATAGTTATAGACAAGATAGGTTAACATTAATTTACAATTGTAGATCGAACTCTAAATTCGAGATAATGAAGTGAAAGATTGGTAATCAAAGAAACGTCATATCAAAAGAAAAATACATGCGATATATGAAAGTATTAGTATCCACCGTTCAAATTTGATGGCCCGAACAATGGCTTTAATAGTTAGGTAAATGTCGACTGAATGGAAAGCCATAGGGTACCCCCACATTATTATTATTTTTTCCTATATATCTATACCAAAAATAATTATCTCATCCAAACTTGCTTTTTACAACATTATTATTATTTTCCTGCAACAATTATAATCTTGTCTGTTAAATGTGTACACATTATTATTATTATTTTGTCCTACAATTATAATGATTCACTTCACAATAATAATCTTGCCAGTCAATGTGGACACATTACTATAATTTTTCGCCTCATGATTATAATCTTGTCAGTCGATGTTTTAAAACATTATTTTTATTTCACCTCAATATTATAATAATTATTCTTACTTTTAACAATTATAATCTTGTTTGCCCGAGCGAACACATTATTTTTATTTCGCTTCAAATTTATAATAATTATATTCCACATCGATCATACAATTATAATCTGTCTCTCCAACAATTATAATAATCGCGACCAAAAAAGTTGCAACATTATTATTATTTAGACGCTTGAAATCAAACGTTTGTGTGATTTTGATGTACTGAACAATTATAATCTTGTCAGATTTTCTTTGGGAAAGATTATTATTATTTGGACGCTTGAAAAAGTAAACGTTTGTCTGCCGAAGACAATCACGTGGTTTAAGACCATGTGCTTCCCTGATCAACAGTGCCGAGTACGGCGCCAGTGAAAGGCAGGCGGTTTGCCGGTAAGTAAAGATGATTTCGTTATTTTAATGTACAAGGAAGTGAATTCCATTCATTCGATAAAGGAAATGTCTCAGAAATCAGCTGTCAGTATGCTGTTATTAAACGACAGCTTCGGAAGAACTAGTTCGAATTATCTCTGTACTTTTGTATAGGAGATTGAGATTGCATCAATGCATGCCATTGCATTGGGAATTTATGTTCCAAATCTAGATAAAGTGGCCTTAAATTGAATGGTACATCTTTACGAACAGTATATGCTTGTATTTTACAGTTTAGCTTGAATTTTCTCTGTAGTAAGCCATTTACGTTGATTCTTACTGTACTGTTATTAGAAACTCTGATAAACGACTATTGATGATTTCATATATTGATTTGTCTTGATTTCCTGATTTTATGGAGTTATCTACAACTGGACCAAAACTTTTCTCTTGATATAACAGCAAACTCCTGTGTATGTTTGTTGTTTAACACAGGCAGAGATCTAGACATTCTCGGGGGGGGGGGGGGGGGGGGGGGGGGGAATGTAAACTCGCCCAAACTTCAAAAACCTATTTTGTGTTGGGGAGGGGGGGTAGTTGATGACTTCAATCCTTTGAATTTTCATACCAATTTAACAAAAATTTGCATTTACCAGGGAGTTTTGCATTTTCCAAGGGGGAGTCCAAGGTAACTTTTTTCTTGCTTTAGTATATAAATTTAATAACTTTGCAAATTCCACGGGGGGTCCTCCCTTCCCCCTTTAGATCCATGCACAATTTTTATGTCCCTGTCGAGATTTTTCACTCATGTGGCAGTCTATCCCAAAAGCACCGGTCCGTCGGACAAAACAGGTGAAAATCTGATTGGTCCGATGCATTATCTAGTAAATGCGGTCCGTTTGTCCGAGGTTCGTTTTGGTTGGATTTTAAATTTTTTATTTCGATTTCGTCATGTAGACGCTTAATCTTAAACCAAAAGACACTTTTAAAAACCTATTGTATTTGTTGATTGTGATTTTAAAACCTACTAAAAAAAATAATGTTTGTTACCCATTCAAATTATCCACGAGTGGATATTTTCTGACAATCAATCAGCCGATTCCATTTATTTAAATAAAAAAATTAACTTGTAACTTTTACTAACTTGAGACATAAAATATGTCAATCTACTTTACAAATTACCTTAAATATAAAGAGTAATCATTATTCTAACAAAAATTTCCCCCTACAACTTTGTGAAGTTTGTTTTCTGCCGCTAAGTAGCCATTTTGGATGCCATGTCGGGTGTCCACTGGAAATATGACACCTGGTATTCAGTCCAGGGATGTTTGGCCATCAATAAGCAAAAAAAAAAGAAAAAAAAAAAAGAATTCCTGACCTAACGACTCTCATATTTTGGGGAATGTTACAGGAAAAAAAAATTAAAGCTTAATGCATGTTTACTGATTCATATGCCATGAAAAAACATCGTGGTGATCATTATATAAAAAAGTTTTGGACCGGTGAAGATTCATTTGGTCCTGTGAAATTGTATAAACTGTCTGTCCGAATGTCCTGTGGTGATTTTTCTTTTTCGCGAAGACTGATGTGGAGAGCTTCAAGCTTTGACCAATACTCGGCACTCAGGGCTATTGAATAGTGAGGGATCTGTTTTGTGCCGGCACCTACTGTGACATGGGACCTCTATTTAAATGGTTTCATCCAAAAGACCTGTCTCCACGTCCCACAGTGGGATTTGAACCCAAAACAATGATCAACTCCTTTCTCTGCAACTCTAAGAGCAAAAGCTCTAACCACTGCTCCATAAGGGCGACCCTATGTTTGTTATCAAAAGCAATGTTATTGTAAAAATTTACTATTTACTAGGTGTGTTCAATAAACTGCACAGTAAATCACTATATAAACATAACCAGGAATCACTTATGTATTGGATTTGTTTTTAGCTCACCTGCTCAATGATAAAAAAAAACAATTTTCAATATTCTGTTTTTTAAGCCACAGCTGCCATATAAAGAGTCAATTGACAAATTCTAAATATGAAACATTTCAGAAAATATTGAAATTCTACATTTTTTGTTCAATCTTCAGTTACCATGAGAAATAGAAAATATGTTGTAGTTTTTTAAGAATTATTTGCACATGTACATTTAATTTTAGGAGCAACAAAGAGTCGTGATTTTTAGAGGCATGCAGGTTTCAAAGAAAGAAAACAGTGTTGTAAAGAAAGAAAAAGATTGCAGATGACACCGAGGTGAAAAGAACAAAAGTGGTTACTAGAAAGAATTAACAAATTATATATTTATTACTACAGTGGCAGATTTATCCAGGGGGAAGGGGGGGGGGGTTAAGAAAATGTAATGGGTACTCAGAAAGTTTTACATTGAGATTTATATTTTTATTCATTCTGCAGAAATATATTGGTATGTTTAGAAAAGTCATCAACTTTAAAATAATTATTTGCAATTTAGCTTACCTGAGTCTAATGCCATGTTTACACAAAGTTACTGCACATTAAATTTGAACAGCATTCACATGGAGAGTTTAATGCAAAAAAAGTTTAATTTGAATTAATTAACTGCGCATTAAATTACTTCGCATTAGCTCCATGTGAACGCTAAAGGAAGCTTATTCAAATTAAATTTTGACGCATGTGTAAGGCCTGAATAAGTCACAGGCCCCATGTCAATAGTTAGATTTAGATATCAGTGCTAGGCAGTGGCGGATTTAAGGGGGGCGCACCCGGCACGCGCCCCCCCCCTAAAATTGTCAAAGTTAGCGTAAATCAAATATGTCTACTGGGTAGACCTCATTTTCACCCTTCAAAATCTCTAGAATCCAGGAGCTTCCGGGGGCTTCGCCCCCTGGGCCCCCACCAGGGCTTTGGTAGACCTCATTTTCACCCTTCAAAATCTCTAGAACCCAGGAGCTTCCGGGGGCTTCGCCCCCTGAACCCCCCACCAGGGCTTTGGTAGACCTCATTTTCACCCTTCAAAGTCTCTAGAATCCAGGAGCTTCCGGGGGCTTCGCCCCCTGGCCCCCACCAGGGCCTTGCCCTCGACCCACTGGGGGCCTCAAGGCGGCACCCAGACCCCTTGCCTATTTTGGCGCCCCCCCCCTAACTCCAAATCCTGGATCCGCGCCTGCTAGGTTTGGTTGAAAAATAAAGGAAAATTATGTTAAACACTAAATTGTATAAAAAACAACTATGATTTTTATGTCAATTGAATCTGCTCGGCACAAATGATGTGAATAATAAATGACGTCATAATATCATTGCTGATCTCCCTAATGTAGAAATAAAATTTTGATTCGCATAAGTTTACTTTGCTTTAGCTGTCGTGTGAACACAATTTAATTCACATTATTTTTTTACTTCTCATTAATTAACTGTGAATTAAACTCTCCATGTGAAAAGGGCATAAGGCTCAAGTAAACTTTTCCAACTAAGAAGTTTCTGGCATCTGTTTAACAAACATAATGATCACCAGGTTAAAGATGGGGCCACAATGGAAATCAAAGTTTTGCACCAAAATACAAAGGAAAGATCATTAGAAATCTTCGAAGGTCATGATTAGTCAAGGAAATAGAAAGCATCATCAGTTGGTGTAGATTTAAGCTTGTTCAAATCATGCCCGCTTCCCCTCCCCTTAGGATTAGTTTGGGCCCAGTAGGAATTATTACTTTTTCAATACTGAAAACCAAAGAGCTAAGGTGAGCAATGTGACCCATGGGTCTTATTTGACCTTCATCATTTCTGTGCAAAATATCCTAGTGTTTGTTCATTTAGCAAGGTTTTTTTATCCCCATACTTTGCCATTATGAAATTGTCAAAAGAAGTTTAAATATCTTTTTTAAATTCATGCAAGTTACAAAGGATATTGTGAGAAAATAGGGAGGTTTTATTTTTGATAAAGGGAAACAACTCTTGCAAATGTACATTTTTATTCATGTAAGAATTTTATGCCAAGTCAGTTCACACAAGAAAAACCCAGTTTGCTGTCACATTGGGAGCCCTCCACTTGTCATAATTATCATGAAAATTAAAACTTCTCCACCCTACAAGGTTTTCCCATGATTATGTGCGTCAATGATAATAATAAAGACTCTTGTGTTTTAATGTTATTTTCAGGGTTCAGGAACCATAAATTTGATGTTGGAGTTTGAACTTCACCCTGACAGACTTTGAGCACATCATAAGTTTCAGACCTATGGACAAAAATCTGGCAGCCATGATAAATATCAGAGAAATCTCCTTGGAAGAGTGTGCCGGTCTAGACAAAAAGTTGCAATGTGAATAACTTGGAAGAAAAAAAGAGTCTTGTCAAATTTCAGAGAATTCTTGATGAAAGATTGCATGTGTTGTTCCTGTTCCATGAAATTTGTCTTTTTATACGCCCGTCTTATTATACGCCCGTCTTAAGACGGGACGTATTATGTTATAGGCTTCGTGTCCGTCCGTCTGTCCGTCTGTCTGTTAGCTTTTTCGTTTCCGGCTCATAACTTTAATACTACTAGGCCTAGGAATATCAAACTTTGTCATCTGATGCATCTTGGGTAGAAGGTGTGTCGCGTACAAAAAGTAGGTCGCTCTGACCTTTAATTAAGAAGTTATAGCCAAATATGGAAAAATCCTTTCCGGCCCATAACAAGAAAACCATAAGACTTACAATCATCAAACTTGGCCAGTTTATGCGTCTTAGGTAGAAGGTGTGTCGCGACCTATTTCAAGGTCACTGTGACCTTTAATTTAAGTAAAATTAAAAAAAAAAATATGTCTTTTTACTATTTATTTACACATCCCAAATAATGTAAGAGTATTGCACTGTTCTTATTAAAAAAGTGTTAAATCAAGAAAATACTTATTTTATTAAAGCATATACTTGACAGCAATCTATAACAAATATAATGTATGTTAGAGAAATCCTACCTCTCCCTTGAGTGTAATTATCAAGCACTGGTCAAAAAGAATTTTGATAACAGAAAATTGCATGTCAAATTAGAGAGAAATTAATGGGTTTTGAGTGCGAGGAGCTAACTGCCAGAGCATTGGTGTTATCTGTCCCTTGAGTATTGGGCAAATGGGTAAGCCTGTTTGATTAAAAATAGGCTATAGCTCTTGTTGACTAGCTTAATTTGATGAAAAGTAATTAAAACTAATTTGATATTGCATTGTAGACTAATCTGATATTATGTAATATTATTTATTTAAAAACTAATTTTATGGGGTGGGATGGAATCAGCATGTCCATATGAATTACATATTAAAACCTGTTGGAAATTAAATCTCAACAAAAAAAAAAGTCTTTGAGTATTTTATATGTTTTTAAACAAAATTTATAGTAGATAATGCAGACCCATTCATCTCTTGGTAGTAATGAGTAGACAAGCATCCAGTTAAAGATTTATTAATGAGTTCAATGTAGGAAGGCTAGCTGTCTCTTATCTGTACCCTTTGGGGATTAGACAGAAGAACTGCTGGTCAGTTTATAACATATGTCATTTGATGGCCAGCCTTTTTTTTCAAAATTAATTTGGTATAGATTAAGTTGTTAAGACTAATTTGATGATGGGCATTTGACAAGGTCTAACACAACCAGCACAGAAATCTATCAGTTATGTAATATTTATGATAATTGATGCCTACATCACAGGGGATGGATAAATATTTTAAGGAATTGAAAAATCATCGAAATCTTAGAATCACGGGCAAGTTTGATGTGATTTTCTTGCACCTAAACTGTTCAAGAAAATTGTAATTTTTTTGACGGGCGTATCATGCTGTGGCGCGGCACTTTATTAACATTTAACACAATCATTTGAAGTGATGCATTTTTGACACATTTTCATTATTGAAGTATATACATTTGATACTCTATTTAACCAGTGGGCCAAGAAAGGTGAATACTCATGTAGAATCATTGTCAGATAGGGTAGATTCAAGTTTGTACATTGTACAAATCATGACCCCCTGGATGTAGAGTGGGGCCATACTGAGAGTTCAAACTTTTAGGAAAAAAGGCCACAGTCAAAAATATATAAGATTCCTTATTTAGTGTAGGTTCAATTTTGTCAAATCATACCCCTCCCTTTTAGTGGTATGTCAAGACCATTTATGCATTTAAGTTTTTCAATACTAAACTGATTTTTGCTTTTTTCTTAGCCACAGTGCATAGGTGAACCAGTTGGTCCCTGAGCCTCTTGTTATTTCTGTATATTATATATATTTACCAATATATTAAGGCATTTTCTATTTGAATATTTTGCAATTAGATATTTAAAAAAAATGTCCTGAAAGTAATTTGCACATTTATTTTATTTAAAGTTGTCTGGTAATGATGTGTTATTAAATGGATATTCAATTGTGATTTTTTTCTGGTGTTCTTTTGGACTTGAATGACAAACATATAATGGAAGGCATGTTGGAAAAGTTGGAGCTCTGTCATATACATGTGATACTTGTAGACCCAAATATTGTTCATCAACATTGGAAATACATGTTCAAAATATGGGAGCTACTATATGGCCTATATACTATATGTGTACTTAAAAAAGTGGGCTTCATATTTATGTCTGATAATCTGTAATCTGTATACATATGCCTTGTAATGAGTTATGCAGTACCTTCACATACATGTACTTGACCTTGAGAGGGAATTCGCACTCAAATCTAGTATTGAAAAAAAACTTGCATGCAAGTAGATTTCTAAACAAGATATGTTTGTGAAACACTGATGCCCCAGTATGGCAACATAGTGAAGATTGAGCTTCTCTTAAATGCAAATTTAATATATTGATACCCAAAGTAGGGTCTCCTAACTGGAAATACAATTGTGAAACATGAAAACCCTATCACCATCTGTTTATGGTCAGGCAAAAGTTTTTTCATAAGTACAGAAATCTTCAAGATCAAGGTCATAAGCTCAAAGTTATTGGTATTGAATGAAAGGTCTTATTACAAAAAATACATATGGGAAGTAAAAAAGCCCTAGCTCTTACTCTTCAAAAGTTATTTCCAAGGTTAATGTTTTTTCATAAGTCCTGGAATGTCTAGGTTTTGGTATCCAATAAAAGGACTTGCCACAGAAAATACATTTGTAAAGTATGGAAGGCTTGGAAGCCCTATCCCTATTACCATTTATAAGTTATTGATAAGGTTAAAGTTTTTTCACAAGTCCGGAAATCTGAGATTTCCGGACTTGTGAAAAAACTTTAACTTTATCAATATCTCCAAGGTCAAAAGGTCAAAGTTATTGGTATCCAATAAATGATCATGCCACATGTGAAGTATTGAAGCTCTAGCCCTAACCGTTTAAAAATTTTGGTTGCATTTTTTTTTTAAGTAAGTCAAACTCTGAGGTCAAGGACTCAAGGTCAAAGGTCTAGGTATCAAATGATAGGTCTTGTCACAAGGAATTAAAAAACTAAAGTATAAAGCAAAAGTTCGTACTCTTTAATATATTTTGTCAAGGTTTGTTTTTTTTAAAGTAGGTCAAACGCCAAGGTAAAGGTCAAAGTTCTTGGTATCCAATGAAGGGTCTTCTCATAAAGATTACATGTGTGAAGTGTGAAAGCTCTACCCCTTGCAATTCAAAAGTTATTGCCTATGTTAAAGTTTTTTAGGAAGTTTTGGGGTGTATAGTATTTGTTGTGTCCATCTGTCTGTTTGTCCACAAAAACTTTAACCTTGCCCATAACTTTGATTTGGTAGAACCATGACTTTCATATTTCACATGTGTATTCAGACCTTTCTTTGGGTACCACCAAATGTGACCTTTTGACCTTGGAGTTTGACCCACTTTTACATGACTTGGGCCATACTTTTAACAGTAGATACCAGGACATTTATACTTCACATATGTATTTTTTCAAAAAAACCTTTCATTGGATACCAACAAACTTAACCCTTTGACCTTGTATACTACCGTATCTGTGAAAAAAACATCACCTTGACTATAACTTCTGAACGGTAAAGGACAAGGCTTTCATACTTCATATATGTAATCCTTGTGAGAAGACCCTTCTTTGGATACCAAGCATTTTGACCCTTTGACTTTAACCTTTAAGTTTGACCTACTTTAAGAAAGCAGTCCTTGACGATAACTTTTAAATGGTTAGGGCTGGTGCAGTGGTGCTTCCATACTTCACATATTTAATCCTTGTGACATGACCTTTCATTTGATAACAAGAACTTTGACCTTGGAGTTTGACCTACTTTTAAAAATTTTCAACCTTGGCTATAACTTCTGAATGGTTAGGGCTAGGGCTTCCATACTCTACATAAGTGTCCTATGTGGCAAGACCTTTCATTGGATATCAATTACCTTGACCTTGGAGATATTTGTACTTATTGAAAGTACTTTTAACATTGGACTACTTTCAAATTCACAATTGTTTTCCAGTGAGAATACCCTACTTTTTGTACCAATTAATTAAATTTGCATTTAAGAAAAGTTTAATCTTTGCTATTTTTTTCATTAGTATGTAAATCTTCAAGGTCAAAAGGTCAAAGTTGGTAATATCCAATGAAAGGTCTAAATACAAAGAATACATATGTGAAATATGAAAGTCATAGCTCCACTAATAAAATCAAAAGGTATGGGCAAGGTTAAAGCTTTTGCAGATAAACAGACAGATAGATGGACATGACAAAAACTATATACCCTCAAAACTTCATTTATGGGGGCATTAAAGTACAAGCACAAAACAAGACTAAGTTATTAATTTATTATATTGTTTCTGGCATTCATTTTTTTTTAATTCACATAAGAGAGAAATTAAATATCTCTAAATTCCAGTCTTAGATTTTTACCTGCCGTTACATGTGCAAATATTCTGCATTGTTAATCTTGAAATGTCTAATAACTGGACTATGCTCTCTCAAATTAGATAAACCATCTAGTCAAAAGCTTATAGGCTCAGTGTTGTGGAACTAATAGTACAGAATTAAATGATTGCAAAAGGTCTAACAGTCTATAAATCCATCTCAATATAATCATGCAATTCTTTCTCCCTCTTCAGATCCTTTTCTATCCAACAAACTTTTTATTTCAAAGTGGGTTATGACATCATTCATAGGAAGAACTGAAACATAAAAATATCATTATATCACCTGATTCATAATGAATTAAATAAGACATAAAAAGAGGCCCATGGACCACAATGCTCACCTAGGTTACTTGGTTCTAGTGTTCCACAGAATTTAAAAAAAATGTTCCTTTTTTTCACCTTAGCATAAACATTTGTAATGAGGTTTACTTAATCTTAATAACATGTCCTACTGTCCTTCCATCACACTTTGAACTTCATATGCTGATACATATATTTTATTAATAAGAGTTTCTTATTTCTGACCTTGACCTTAATTTTTGTTAAATTATGTTAAGTTCGGTTTCAAGAG